GTGAGTTCAAAGCTGCATGCATGCCCACCTGATTCTCTTATAACCAGGAAGGTCTTCTGGGAGCTCAGGCGGCACTTGGTCTTGGCCTTGGGTGTGCACCTGGCATCTGGTCCAGCAACCTCCCAGTGTTCCCAATCCAGCTCCATGCTGTCCAGTGCCAGAACGCCCTCCAGCAGCTTCAGCTTTGGCCTTTGGGCAATCCGCTGATCCGCTTCATCTCAGGGCACCAGTACACATTCAGCTCCACAACCCAAGGAAAGTTCTCCACATATTCTAGGACGCACAATGCATGGTTCTCAGATTATGCCTGCGGTCACTAGCAAGTCCTCGGGGAAGGTGTGTCAGCTTGCAGTCCCTGAGGTAGAGAAGCTCCAGAGCTGGCATGGCTATGACACTGCGCTGCTCTGCTCCTCCTCCCAGCCCCACTCCTTCCATCCGGACAGCCCTCGTAACTCCAATTCTCTCAGACTGGGGAATGCGACACCTCTAGACTAGCAAAATTTGCCAATGAACCACCAGGTTTAATCGAGCTCATAGTCTATCAATAATAATGTCCTCAATGTTTCTTGCTTCTCTAGGATGCTCAACTCTAGTTTGGGATGAAATATACAGAGATGGTGAAATTTTTGGTTTTCCGAAAGAAGATTTCTTATGTCACCTTCATCCTTGTGAACCACCAATGCTTCTTCCTTAGCCATAAATTGAGCAAATGAGCGGACGACATCATGCAAGGTGTACTCCCATATGTTCTCATTTGAATCATCGGGCTCCAAAAGATTCCTCGCGACTAACTCCCAATGATAATCAGCCCCAGCCCCTATTTGTTCGACATGATAATAGTAGGTCTGACCCCGACCTACCATCATGTTGAACAAACTCTTCACTTATCCACATGCTAATAACTGTATCCTTTTCAAAACCTGAACCCTTTGGCAAAAGTCAGTAGTACAGAAAGCATTGCTTCCACTTTGGAGATAAATCATCGTAGCTTAAGCTTACTGAGTAGTTTAGTTCCTCTTGTGACCCGTCTTCTTCTTTCCAGCCAAGATTCTTGTGTAAAACAATCTCCGAGTCACGTTCCATAGGATCTCTTCTGCTTAAGACTCCACCCATAACTTTAATAGCAAGTGGTAACCTGCCACATATTTTTACAACCTTCATCCCAATATCTTTCAGCTCATCAAAATCACTTCCACACCAACCTGCCAACAGTATAGGACAACTTAGTACTGATGTATGAGCTACATCTTTTTGGATAGAAAAGAAGAAAATTATCTTTGATCAAAACAACACGTGTAGTACTTCTATAGAAATATAATACCCCATAGTAAAATTTTGAAATTCTGTGGTGTCCATAAATATGAAAATACTACACATTTTAGATGAAAAACAGTGATATGCATAATCAGAATTAAAATTTCAAAATTTAGAAAATCTAGTTACATATTAAGTGCCCCATATTAAGCAGCACATCGACATACTACAAAGTACAAACTAATCTTTCAAAGAAAAAAAAGTATACTAGGAACACAGAACTAGTTGGGGTACTGTACTGATTAATCTGAGATTGACATATTAAGTAGCATAGCATACAAAGAGAAGAGAGGCCATCTCTTCTTACGTCCACACCACCCTAATTACCAAACTCAAACTCAACAAATCAGCAGCATTCAGTTTCAGTTTCAGAACCTGAAACTGACCTCACTGACTGAGGTGTCATTCAGTTTGAAGTCATAACTTATAGATTTTGGCTCCATTTATTTATTTGACCATTCATCTATCCATGTGATGTGCCCAAACGAAGCTTGCTCAAATTAAAATGTGTGTAGGCTGCTTCGCCACAGATTAAAATGGCAGCTAGTTGTCAGCCTTAAAAGATTTTACTGGAACTTGGCAGCTAGTTTGTCAGCCTTAAAATGAACAAACACCACTGTACCAAACTCAAACCATCCGGAAATTGTATTCACATAACCTCCCTTATTACATATCTTACTTGAGCATAGGGACGTCCGATGGCGTTACAGGCGAAAAATTTCATCTCGTCAGTGAGTTAATCGCCAACTGCAACCAACCATAGACGACTGCCCATGTCTTGAGAGTTAGAGCACGCATGCAACAACGGGGTGAGGAGGAACAAGATAGAGCTGACAGATGGGACCCACACCAGCTACCTGCAAAACAGAACACCATCTTAGTCTTGTTACTTCTCACATCAACGCCACTGTACCAAACTTAAACTGAAACTGAAACCGTACAAATCAGCAGCCAAAAGATTAGATTTTTTTTCGAACTACATGCTTAGACTGAACAATAAATCTACTGACCCAGCTGAGCAGCAATCAATCCTCGCGCTCAAACAAGAAATTTACATACAAGTGAAAGGACATTGAACACTCTTACTATAAATTTTTAAGCATACAGACAGCCTCTCGCCGGTGAGTTGAAATTAACGGACCATGGCCCATGGGAGGTTACTGACTAGATGCCAGGTGTACATCCCAAGACCAAGAGATATCAAGCCGTAACACCGGAGGTGTGTCAGTTTGCACTTCACACCAGATAATAAGACATATCATTTCAGGTAATAAGGCATTCCCAGCCACAGATGAGGACAAAATGATTCAATAGCTAAAGATGATGAGCCCACCAAGAAAAACAAAATGCTTCAGGTGTCATCACACATATTGTCCATCCACGTGCATAGCATACTGGAAATGACTGAAATGAAAAATGTGTATTTCCATTACATGTGATGCTTTGCTTTTCATCGACTACCAATGGGTTCAGCTCTACATAGTTCAGCACATACTAGCAAATGTAGCTAAAACGACATAAATAGATCAGGTTCCATCATCCAGAGTAGCTACTTCAGTGTGAATTTGATGTTCTTGAGGCCGCCCGGTGTGTAGTAGCCATAGAACGCATCCGGATCCATTAGATGTCGGCCAGGATTGACTTGGTCTTGTGGCACCGCGGCCTCATCTTGGTTTCGCGCTGGCGCCCTCACTGTATTCTCTTGATAGTTGAGGAGTAAACTCCGCACATCGCCTCCCGGGCATGCGTACCCGTACACTGTTACGACATGCCCTGCCTTTATCTCATTGCCGTTGGGTAACTTGATCATAATGTATTCTCCATTTGCTTTTAACCTGTAAGGCTCATCATCCGAACGGATGTCATAATAGTGGCGCTGCGGATTCAGCGTGACAGCAATGGGACCGGCATCGATGACCTTGCATAGTGACTCGCGAAATTTCATAACCTTCTCAAACAGGTCACGTGTCGAGTCACGGCAAAGCCCTTGAGCAATCGCCTCTTCGGTCCACGGCTCCTGAGTAAGTGGAAGCGTCTGGGCTGAGCCATACGTTATCGACAGACCGTGAGCGTACACCCGATGCTGCGGCTCCAGCACAACATCACTTGGGAATAAGAAAGCTGGGATGCTACTGGGCTCAAATGGAATACCAGTCTGAGCAATCAACAGAGATATGTCATAAATGCTTGCTCCTGTTTCCCTAAGGAATCCCTGGCCAGCAGCAGAGAGAATCAATGCCAAATGATCGACATTGAAGCCCCCGTCTTGACGGTAGACCAACCGTAACAACGCTGTGAGTGTTTCGCCATAGCAGTGCAAGGAGCATACTCCACCTGCAAAGGTTAAACCCGAAAAGAAGTTTGGAGCGGTGTCAGTGTCAATTCATGAAAGAATTTGGACCAAAGGTTTTTCCTTGGGATGGATAATCTGTTACTTACTCCATTTTGTCTTGTGTGGTTGTCTGGGGATGCGAGGCAGACTACTTGCGAGCTGCAATGTTGGTGGAGGTAGAACGTGATCCCAGTTGCGGTAGTAGTAAGACTTCCAATCTCTGTCTGCCTCCGGCAAAGGAGGAAGAACTTGCTGCTGCTGCTCCTCCTCCTCCTCCCCTTGCTCCTCCTGCTCCTCCTTCCCTTCCTCCTGCTCCTCCTTCACCTCTTCAAACTGGCCTTGCAACCTAACAGAGAATAGCACAGAACGGTCATGAAGGACTCACTTGCTCGGCGCGAGGCACTTGAACAAGATGTTAACATCCATTCTTCTGAAAATGGATCTGCACCAAGGCATGTTAATATCCATTCTTGAAGAAATCCTCTATTTCTATTTTCCTGATGAGAATACCCCGTTTCACTGATGAATATGCACTCTATTTACTTGCCGCTAAATGGCTTAGCGGCCGCAATAGCGTTGTAAACAGCATCACAGGAACCCAATGCACAAAGTGAATTCGATCAACCGATCGATCACAGAACTTACTGCCCCAGATCACCACCACCAAGACATCAACTCAATGCTGTTTGCTACCATATATACCACTAAGATGGACAAACACACACATAAGCAGGAAGGAAAATGCACACTTGCATGGAAAAAGAATAAAATCTGGTGGTCGTGTGTGTTCTTACTGTTGCTTGATGATATCCTCCTCCTCCTCCACCTGGACTAGCTTCTTCTGGTGCGCGTTGTAGAAGCGGTAGGCGGCGTAGCCGGCGCCGGCGACGCCCAGCCCCAGCGAGAGAAGCATCTTCCAGCGCTGCCGCGCCCCGAAGCCCTTCCCAGCAAGGGCGGGGGTCGTTGGCTCGAACATGGCGGCGCTCCACTAAGCAAAGCAGCCGCACCACCAGACTCACTGGATGAAATGCAAGGAGTCAGTAGGGCGGAATCAGGCAGGCTAGGGTTGGTCGGCGGAAGAGCTCGAATCGGACGACCTGCAGTCCGGTAAGCGGCGGGGAGGAGGAGGAGGAGGAGACGGAGATGGTGGTCGGCGGCAGGAGCTAGGTCTCGAGTCGTGGGCCGACTCGGGTCGTGGGCCGTCTCGGTCCGTGTGTTGGTTTATTTTGGGCCGACTCGGTCTCCTCCGCCGTGTCGTCTATTTACTTTACTCTGTCTGTCTGTGGCCGAATCGCACGGACGCAAACCCTAGCCAACAAAAAAAAATCCCCAATCCCCAATCGGAGCGAGAGAGATGGCCGGCGCCGCCGCGGAAGGGGAGGCCGTCGTCGGAAGGGGAGCGCGCCAGTCAGCCAAGGTCAAGGCCAAGGCCAAGGTCGCGGCCGCGGAAGGGGAGGCGATGGGGCCTCGCCTCAGCCTTAGCCTTTCTCCGGATGCTCTTGATCTGATTGCCAAGAGGGAGGCCTTGCTCTCGGAGTTGGCCTCGCTCTCGTCGGAGCCTTCGCCCTCGCCGCCGCTCCCTGCAGCTTCGTCGTCGCCCCTCTGGTCCCTCATCTTGTCCCGTTGCCTACCATCATCCCTACAGCCTGAGCCTGCTCCAGAGCCTGAGCAATTCGACAGGTTGGAACACAACTGGAACAGGTAACAAGACATTATTAACCTTCACATCTCCCTACTCCTCCTACCTAACTAACTCATCCGTGTTTATCTTGTAAATCTTGATAGTTCTATGATGATGTTGCCGAGCCCCTCCGAGGTAGCAGCAGCTCAAGATCATCAACTTGTCATGGAGGAATGCCTTCGCCACTATAACCTAAATCATCCGGTATGTATGTATATTTCTACTCCTCTCACTTTGCTCTTTTGCAGCTTGCTGCTTGCTTCCCATCCATGTATCGATACACCCGTATCTAGACAAATCTAAGACAAGAATTTTGGGACGGAGGGAGTATCTATCTATGTGCACACTGATTAAAATGGATAACCTCATTTTGTCGTCTCTAGCATTCGGCAAATTTGTCCCACAACCAAACAACCCCATCCTTATATGCAATCATTAATAACTCTTACAAAATCTCAAGTCAAGCGGCCTTCAAACAATTTCAATTTTGATCTCTCCTACTGTCATATCATATATAAAACAGTTATCCCGACAAGATGATGTTTGTGGCCACTGACTGGCATATACTTACAAGTTTTTTTTTTAAGTAGAAACTGCAAAACTGAACAACTTAACCCTAGTCATTCAGTCATTTTGTTCTGCTTTTGTTTTACCTTACTTATTGCTACATGTACTCATTCCATTTTCCATGGTTGCTTGGTTGGTTCGTTGGTTGCCCAGGAAAATGAGTACGTACCTGCCCCTGGCAAGGTGACCAGGTACAGCAGTCCTCACAATGGCTCTTGCTGGACTCATGGCAACTTCGTCGCTAGCCCCAAGCACTCCAGCTACTTCTCCTTACTGCCCCCTAGACCAACTCTCTTCTTTTATGAGCTTGTTACCAAAGATGGTTTTCAAGGAGTTGTTTCGTGCACCCCGCTAGGTATGTATGTACTATTGCTATCTTCATTCATCACATATCATACATACCACATGTTGGATCTGGAAGCTCAAATCTCTTTCAGTGCTAAAACCCAAACAACCACCATGTGGCATGCATGTCATCATAATCATATACAGGAAGGTAGCTAGTGCTTGATGCCGAAAACCACCTTAGCTTATTGTATATTTATATTCATTAAAATGTGCTCTGGTGACCACTGTTTTGAAACTTGTTTATGTTGTCTTTCTGGGGTGTGGTGAATCTGAGGTACTTGCAATGTTTTTACAATTATTATGCATTTTTTTTAGATTGTTCAATTGGGATAAACTTGTGGTATTTCCCTTTTTCTTCTTCTCTTTTTTGTGCATGAGGTGACTGATACATACTCCCTCCGTCCCACCATATAAGATTTTTTGCAAGCAAAAACGTCTTATATTGTGGGAAGGAGGGGGTACTTGTTTATGGGATCTTTCCTGGTACAATCAAGATGGCTGTTGTTACAAACCTAGCTAGGCTCCTGGTCTTTATTCCATATTGTTCCACTAGCTAGGTTATTACTTTGCTTTATAAAAATATATATTCATGGACCTACCTTGTTAGTGCCTTTGCTGTTACACCATGCATTTTCTATGCTGACTCCGCTTTGTTTATTTCCTTGCTTGTGTTTGTTTTACATACAGATGAGCCAGTTACTGAAGCCTACAGTTTGTTTGGCCTTCATCTTGGGTGGGGAACTCGTCGTGATGGCAGTTGTATGTCCTCGCTTCCTCTTTTTTATATATCCTTTGATTGATGACAGAACACAAGTGCACAATTGTTCTCTTGCTTATTGTGCATGTTTGTTGACTTAGTGTCTTTGTTTTTTCAGCGGATTGCCTTTGCAATACATGCAACCGTCTTGTTGATAGCGAGGTTCCTTGTGTGGGGAAAGCATTTCCGTGTGGACATTACAAGGCAGAGTGTGTTTGTCAAATGTGCTATCTTCAGTCTGAAGTGCTGCATCCATCGCCAGAAAAATTTGCGTTTGGAAAATGATGACCAGAGCTGGCTGAGCACCCAATCTATATATCATTTGTGGATACGAAAGACTTGTAATATGATGACATGCCTTAGGTTGTTGGTTGTGCTGCTGCATATTAATTATGTCTTCCCGGGTGGAATGCCCTATGTTATGCTATGCTATGTAGTAGTATTATGAAACAGATGATGGCTGTGGCGTAAGTACAATAAAATCATGTACGTATTTATGAGATGGTTGATAGCAACGCTGTGGATCTTCTTCTTAATTGGCAACTCAACTTCATCATACCCCGCTTAATTGGATCTTCTTCTTATAGCTCATGTCTTACTTATTCTCTTTGCATTCAGTCCAGGGTGTTGTACCATTCCTGTCAGGGTTGAGCAGCTAGTAAGCCTAGACACATTTCTACTACTATATTTATTAGTTCTATTACTAGTGATTGCAAAGCTATGTGACTTGATAGTTCTACAAGTCTTTCGTTGCTATTTCTGCAATCAGCTGGCTTTATTTTGCTATATGTTTAGAAGAACTGTTATTGTTGATGCACAGAGAGATAAAACGTCCCTGATTTTCCACGGTGTTCCCTACATTGGCACCATCTCGCACATACGTCGTCACTCGGTGTTTGGTCCTCGTCCGTCTGTGATGTCGCCTACATACGGCGTCTTCAGCAGGCTATGTTGGTCGCTATTCGTTGACTCCTCTCGCGGCATCTATTCATGGTGGTAGTGCTCGCTCTACTTCGACTCCTCTTACGGCTTTTGCACGTGGTAGTGGCCGCTTTACGTCGACTCCTCTCGCGGCTTCCGCCCACGGATGTGGCCGCTCTACAACGACTTATTTGATGGCTTCCGCACGTGATGGTGACCGCCCTACATCGAGGAGGACTCCTCTGGCGGCTTCCGTACATGGTGATCGTCAATCTACACCGACTCCGCCGCCGGTGGCTTTAACATGCCGCTCTACGTCGACTCGCTGCTCTTCGTCGACACTACACTCGGCTTCCACGGGTGATGGTGTCCGCTCTTCATCAGCAGATATGTCTCTACCACGATCTCTACCGCTGTGTCTCTGCCTATGAATGAGATTGCGCAGCTGCGAGGCCTGCTTGACTGCTTGGGATTCTTCACTGACAGGTTCTGTAGGTCTTGTGGCTGACTCTTCTGACAATGAGAAACCACCTTCTACTCATTCAGGTACATCCCCATGGGGAGGTAGAAACTGCGGATCATTAAACGCATTTGCAAGCTCCAGTAATATAGTATGTATGAGGTCAAGAACTCCTTGTTGTCCATCAGTTGGGTTGTTATTGTACTTTGTCAGAGTTGTGGAACGGCTTCCTGCGCCAGCGCAGATGGACAAGACACAGGAACGAACGACCTTGGCTTCCTGAAGCAGCTCGTGCCACCCTTCCTCTCATGCAGATGCAGTCCACCTTCTGTGGTCTTGGCAATAATCTGAGCGAGCGTACTGTTTGTCATTTTCATTTGAACCCTAAACTAATGGCAGTTGGTTGAATTGAGCAAAATTGAACTGAGAGCAACTGTTGGTTCATGCACAGTGCTGGAATTGAGCAAAATTGAACTGAGACATGCAAAATGCAGGAATATTCTCTGAGCCATTTTGAAAGGAACTTGTCTGAAGATGCAAAAATCAAGACATGTACTCCCTCCGTCGTCCGGTGAAGAAATATAAGAGTGTTGTTTAGATTACTACTTTAGTGATCTGATCTAAACGCTCTTATATTCCTTTACGGAGGGAGAACTTGTCTGAGCATGCAAAAAAATTCATCTTCTCTGAACGTGTTTGGAGGGAGACATGTACTTGTCCTAACATGCAACTGTCCAAACATGTTCTCAAGGAACAAAAAAATAATGTCCAAGGACAAATAATTCCGAACTGATGGACTTGATGTCTCTCTGCAAGCACGAGTTCAGATTGATAGAGTTGATGCATACAAACTTGATGTAACAGGAAACTGATTAGCCTAGTATAGGAACTCGACCACGTCTGTTTGTATGCACGAGCTCACCTGGATGATTTTATAAACTAAATTTCAGCACAAATCAATTGTTTCCTCGTGACTAAATTTATAGAGCTTTTCTTAATAATACGTACGTACATTATAGAGAGAGCTGAAAGCTGCCAAGGTACTGTGTTTTGTTTTCAGATTCAACTTCAACATGAGGAGCATTGAGCGACCGACCGACTGACTGATTCATATACAGCAACACAAAAGCGAAATAAAACCGGCAGAAACAAACAAGCTGCCTAGATATCATCACTTTCTCCAACAAACGTTGTCATCCATCCTCCACTAAGATAGATCATAGATAGATGTCCGGGATTAGCATGCGTGAATGAAATCAACAGCAGCCGCTCGCCGCAGCATCAGCCTCTGGCGCCTTCTGCTTGAAGATGTTCTTCTTCGCCCCAGAGGATGCATCCGCCAACAGGCTCGGCGTGTCCAATATCTGCACCATCGTGCGGGCAACATTCATGTCAGTTTCAACACATGGGAAAGAAAAACTCCATTCAATACAGAAAATTTATACTGAATCATCTGCACTAGTAAATATTTCTATTCTATCTGTGAGAGTGTTCCACGTGTAAGTAACAAGACCGACCAACAAGAGCTAATTTATACTGGTCCTTTTCTAGACACATAAACAGAACAAGCAGCATTCCACTAGTGTGCACGGACACGCCTTGATGCATGAATAGCCGTTTGAAGTGCAGTTTCACAGTAGTACAACCATGCCAGATACAGAAGGAATCGAGAGCTGGAAGTCACAACATCATGTATACATACCTTGAGCACAAGCTCCTCAAAGCACTGCTCCACGTTCACTTTGGTTTTCGCACTGCATTCCAGAAATAAACACCCATACTCCCTGGCAAAGTCAATGCCTTCCTTCTTGGTGACAGCCCTCTCACTTTCCTGCCAAACCAAGCATTATCCACATTCAGCTCTGCTCTCAAGTCAACTCTAAACACAGACAGGAAAAAAAACATCCACCCGAGAAACCTACTATGCAGCATGCCTCGACACAAATACAGATAAGTGACATAAGAATGTAGAGGTGTGGACAGAAGCGGTACCTTGTCCACTTTGTTTCCGACAAGCATCTTTATACAGTCCTGGTTGGTCGAATACAGGTCAATTTCCTTGGCCCATATGTCAGAGAGATTGGTGAATGTTTCTCGGCGAGTAACATCGTACACTGAAAACAGACGAGACGTTTATTAAGTGGCATTTCTCCAAATTAGACAGCTCGTTAGAACCCAGCAAGGAACACACAAATAAAAGAAACAGCAACAAAAAAAAGAGGCTTTGCGACCCCATGTAGTGAAAAACTGTTGTACCCTCCTTGTATGAGGATCTCAAAAGTTGCAACAAGCCTGAAAGGATGCTCTATAGATGCAGTAATTTTCTGTCACGAAAGTCTTAAGCTGATGTGTAGTTTTGATAATACTGTATAAGGCAATTGACAGAGTAGTTTGGTTGCAAAACTAGGCTATTTAATGTGCCATCAAGTTGCATGAATATACATACATAGGACGGGGAGAAGAAAGGAAGGAGTATGAGACGGTAAACATACTACCCATGATGATCCCTTGTGCCCCTCTGTAGTAAGAGCTGGTCAAGGTCCTAAACCGTTCCTGTCCAGCTGCACAAGAGGCACACGGCATCAGCAGCTAAATCATGAGAACTCAAAAGGGTGAACTGGGGCATTTAAGAAAACGAGAAAAAAACTGAATCGCATTGCACACATAATCTACTCGGAAACAAAAGAAAGGGGAAATTCTACAAAAGCATCAGGCGGTCAAAATTGTCACGTGTTAGATGTGACATAACACTAAAAGCTTGGAACCAGGGACTATTCTTCCTTGCTCTACTTTGTTTAGAGGATAATATCCTAGATGACCCTCCACCCCAATGCGATGCAATGAAATAATTTTACTGAGGAGTGAGGGCAGGGGAGGACAGGACAGGACAGGACAATTTTACAGTATACTAGAATTAAAAAAGCAAGCAGAGAGTAGTGAAGAGATTGGAGAAACAGAGTATATGTAGTGTAGTTTCACATGACATGACATGCGAGCGGAGTGGAGTGGGCCTAAGCAATCGGAGACGGTTCAATGTAAGAAACTAGAGGAGATGGGAGTAGGGTACCGGTGTCCCAGACGGCGAGCTTGAGCTTCTTGCCGGCAATGTTAACCATCTTCACCTTGAAGTCCACGCCTGCAATTGCAATTGCATCTCATCTCATCTCATCTCATCAGGGATCCAATTAGGGATTCCATGGGTTTGATTGGATTGGATTGGATTCGATTCGATTTGATTAGATGGGGGAAAGAAAGAAAGAAATTAGGGATGTGCGTACCGATGGTTGGGGATAGGTCCTCGAATGAGTCGGATGTGAATCGGAGGAGGAGACTGCTCTTGCCGACGCCGGAGTCGCCGATGAGGAGGAGCTTGAACAGGTAATCGAAGTCCGGCTGCGCCTGCGCCTGAGAGGACGACGCTGTCGACGAGAGGGGCTAAGGCCCGAACTGTAAAAATATATGCGGTGGTTATCTTCTCACAAGAAAAAAATGACATATCTATACTATTAAAGTATTTCGGGTCACTTACGACTCGCGGGAGAATTGATCCCCCGCGGACTTTGTGCGGCAACGGCACCCCCTAAGGTAGGACCCTCTGTGGAAGACTTCTTCTCCCGTTTGGAAGCTTCGGCTTCCGAATCCCCGGGCGCAGTCCTTTTTCTCTTCTGCTTGTCTTCCTTCATGGAGACGCTCGCTCCCTCGGCTAGAATGGGCAGCGTTGGGGGCCCGCGTCCGCCCGCATTATCCTCCACAGTATCTTCCTTCAAGGGCTTCGGGCAAGGTGCGGTCTGGAGCATCTTTTCCAATACCGGATTTTCCAAATCCTCAGGAAGGGGGGCCGAACACCGAATCAACTTCGCCTTTATTAGCCAGTCCTGGTCAAAAAGCAAACTCTCAGAAATAACTCCGTAACAAAGGAGAGATAGTATGTTCGGCCGGAAGATGCCTTACCTGTTCGGCGGCGCGGTTACTATTCAGGCCCACGTCCTCGGTGATTTCCGGACACTCCACCTGAGGTCCGAAGAATGACTTGTACATCTCCTCGTGCGTCAGGCCGAGAAAATTTTGAATGACACGCGGTCCCTCGGGATTGAACTCCCATAGGCGAAGAGGCCGGCGTTTGCAAGGCTGGACTTGACGAACCAGCATAACTTGTATTACCGCAACCAAACTGAAATCTCCATTGATGAGATCGCGAATGTGGCTTTGCAGTATAGGCACGTCCTTGGCCGGACCCCAGCTCAGACCTCTGCTGATCCATGACATCAGTTGTGGTGGAGGGCCCGAGCGGAAAACAGGGGCGACCACCCACTTGGCACTTCTAGGAGCCGTGATGTAGAACCACTCCTGTTGCCACAATTCAGACACCTCTGGGATGGAACCTTTGGGCCACGGAGCTCCTGCCATCTTGCGTATTGAGGCACCTCCACACGCTGCATGTTGCCCCTCGATCGTCTTTGGCTTCACTTCAAAGGTCTTGAGCCATAGGCCAAAGTGAGGGGTAACCCGGAGGAAGGCCTCGCACACGACAATAAATGTCGTGATATGAAGAAAAGAGTTCGGAGCTAGATCATGGAAGTCTAGCCCGTAATAAAACATCAGGCCCCTGACGAAAGGATCCAGAGCAAGGCCTAGACCTCGGAGGAAGTGGGAGACGAACACGACGTTCTCGTTGGGTTCGGGGGTGGGAACGGCCTGCCCTCGGGGAGGCAGCCGATGCAAAATCTCGACGGTCAAATATCTGGCCTCCCTCAACTTTTAGATGTCTTCTTCCATGACGGAGGAAGGCACCCATTGGCCTTGAAGGCTAGATCCGGACATGACTGAAGGTTCGGAGCACCTGACCTAAACTTCGGGCGTTTGAGCTTGAGGTGGGGGAACGAATCGATTGAGCACGGGAGGGAAAAATAAAAGCCTTGTCCCCTTTATAAAGAAGGTGAATATCAAGCGTCCTCTCCGTGTTCGTTTGGACTTGCCTATGATCTAGGAGTCCTAGAAGCGGCTGGGTTACCCACGCCCGCATTGATGAGAATCCCGGAATAAGGGGACATGATCTCTGCTTTAACAAGACGTGCCAAGGAAACCGCCTCGCATGACGCGCTGAGGTGGGATAATGAAACGACTCGAATAAAGGCTTGGCCGTGGTGTGTCACATTACGGAATATGTCAGCAGATTAGATTTGTGTAAATATTATTCTCTCTATGACAATATGTGGAAACTTATTTTGCAGAGCCGGACACTATCTTTGTGTTCAAAATCTTCTATGAAGTATTTGGAGGAGGAACCCGCCTTGCAATGCCGAAGACAATCTGCGCGCCGGACTCGTCGTCATTGAAGCCTGGTTCAGGGGCTACTGAGGGAGTCCTGGAGTAGGGGGTGTCCGGATGGCCGGACTATACCTTCAGCCAGACTTCTGGACTATGAAGATACACGATTTCATCCCGTGTCTGGTTGGGACTCTCCTTTGCATGGAAGGCAAGCTTGGCGATTCAGATATGTAGATCTCCTCCCTTGTAACCGACTCGGTGTAACCCTAGCCCCTTCGGTGTCTATATAAACCGGAGGGTTTTAGTCCATAGGACAACAACAATCATACCATAGGCTAGCTTCTAGGGTTTAGCCTCTCTGATCTCGTGGTAGATCTACTCTTGTACTACCCATATCATCAATATTAATCAAGCAGGATGTAGGGTTTTACCTTCATCGAGAGGGCCGGAACCTGGGTAAAACTTCGTGTCCCTCGCCTCCTATTACCATCCGGCCGAGACGCACAGTTTGGGACCCCCTACCCGAGATCCGCCGGTTTTGACACCGACATTGGTGCTTTCATTGAGAGTTCCACTGTGCCGTCACGGTAAGGCCTGATGGCTCGCCTTGTTGTAAGGGACAACGTTACCTCTGGGGGAGCCCTGGCTGTAGGCCAAACTCTCCGATTAGGCGGCTTTGTCGTGACCGCCCATCGGCCGTCGCGCCGATGATGACTTCTCGGGTCATCAAAAACAGCCTCTACGTCGGCTCGGGATTCACCGAGCAGATGGATCCAATGGAGCTCTCTTCTTTGAATGAGCTCTTGGATCGCATTGCCGCATTGGGAGTCGCTACGGACTATGATCAGATCGGGCTTAAACCCGGCCAAAGGGAGATTAACTCTCCGTCGGTTACCCATCAGATAGCGGTGGTGGAGGAGAGATGCAGCAATTCTTCCTCTATTTTGAGGACAAACTATGTCCGGATTCCCGAGCTCTCCGAGCCGGATACCCGTCTACGGGAGGACATGGCCCAAGCTTCGAACATGGAATCGAACAGCGGGTTAGTACCATTGGGCCATGTCCCAGAGCCCGAACTACCAAGCTCGGAAACTCCTTTGGGTCTCAGACCGGGCCAGGGTTTGGACTTAAATCTACCCACCCACCCTCACATAAGTGATCTTTCCCATATTAGACAAGAGCCCCAAGAGACAGTACATCACTATTGGGCCAGATTCCTCCTTGCAATAAGCAAGGTGAAGGACTGTCGCGAGGAAGACGCAATTTCATTCTTTTGCAAAAATTGCACGGACAAGGGAATCCTCAACGCCATAAGTCACCGTGATATAACACACTTCGCTGACTTGGCGTCCATAGTACGGAAGTACTGTGTGATGGAAAGCACTTGGAAATCCCAAACACAATTCTGGGATCCTCCGGCTCTACCTAGACCCTCTGTCCGAACTAAAAGGGTGTACTCTCGTAAGTCACCCAATCCAATTACAAAGAAGCCAAAACCCACTACAGAGCGTAGAACCGTATTGGAGGGATGGCTCAATGGGCCATGCAAAATTCAAAGTACATCGGATACCATGCCAACACACAGCCTTAGAGCATGTTGGATACTCCGGCAGGTGGCCAGGAGCGGCGAGGACCTCCTCGTCAATAATACCACCGAGCACCCTCCCGCGGAAAATAACAATACAATACTGACAGTCTTCGAGACTTTCGCCTCAAACAATAGGCGCAAGCGGGCACTTCACAACCTCGCCGAAGTTTGCCACGTTGCAACAATAAATCCATGGAATGACACGGCCATAACCTTCAATGCCAGTGATGAACCTCAATTCTGCACAGCCCGAGCTCCAGCCGCTTTGGTCCTTAGTCCAATTGTGGACGGCTTCCGGCTTACTAAAGTACTCACGGACGGCGGCAGCGGATTAAACCTCATCTATGAGGAGACTCTTCGAAAAATGGAAATAGACAAGAGCCGCATTGAGCAAAGCAGCACGACCTTCAGAGGAATCATCCCTAGTCGGGAGGCACAATGTGCGGGAAAAATCACACTAGATGTGGTATTCGGCACGCCGGAGAATTACAGGTGCAAAGAAATCACATTCCAAGTGGCCCCGTTTAGTAGCGGATACCACGCCCTTTTAAGGCGAGAGGCATTCACGATCTTCCAAGCTATACCCCATTACGGGTACATGAAGCTCAAGATGCCTGGGCCCAATGGAATCATCACTCTAGATAGTGATCCGGACATAGCACTCCGTGCCGAAAACAAAACCGCCGCACTAGCTCTCGAAGCGTTATCCGAAGCCCTCGCGGCCGAAGAACTAACTGCATTGCGCTCTACAGTGGACAGGGACGACGTGATACTCGACAAAAGATCCAAGTACACCTCTTTTAAACCAGCGGACGAAATAGTCAAATTCCAGGTCCACCCAACGGACCCTTCAAAAATAGAATCCATCGGGGCACAGCTGAACCCCACAACAGACGCCGCACTGCGGGAGTTCTTACGCGAGAATTGGGACAACTTTTCCTGGCATCCTTTAGATATGCCAGGCATCCTACGCAGGCTAGCCGAGCATAGCCTAAACATTCTAAAGGGGTACAAGCCGATCAAGCAAACTCTTAGGCGTTTCTTCGAACCCAAGCGACAAGCCATGGGAGAAGAACTAGCCAAGTTACTCGAGGCCAGATTCATTAGAGAAATAAAACATCTGGACTGGCTAGCAAACCTGGTGATGGTACCAAAGAAGGACAAATCCTGGCGCCTATGTGTCGATATTAAGGACCTTAACAAGGTTGCCCCAAGGATCCCTTCCCCCTCCCCCGCATCGATCAAATTATCGATGCTACC